GAGACCGTAGGATTTTTTCGATATTTTTTCGGGATTTTTTTGACGTGCGTATGAGTCGTTGAAGTTACGGTTTTAGAGAGATAGAGAGTTTAGAGAGAGAGAATTCAAAAATAAAGTAAAGGATATTTTCGTAATTGAGGGGGGCGGTGACTAGTAATAGGGGGCGGTAAATAGCAATTGAGCCCTTAAAATCACACAAAATTTCCTCTCTGAATTTTTTTTACCAGTCGAGAAATTGAAAAAGGAATTCGAGGTTTTTGGAGGCTAAACCCTTCTACTTTGCCGTCAACCTCCGCCATCCAATCGCAGACGACGTCCGGCATCCAGCGCTGCCATGGCAGCGGACTGACTCGGTATTTGTTTTTCACCATTTTTTAGCTCAGCGCTCAGGACTTCTTTCGATTCATTATTAGCACTTTCTCCTAGTTCATTCGCACACTGTCACCAATCACCAGCTCAAACATTTCTCAATTATCCTAAACACGATGTGAAATTGTTCTCCCAGCTAATGTTTTTTCTCTTTCCAAGTCATCTGTGACAAAGTGCCTGTTGGTTGTTTTTTCAGCATCAACAGCTCGTTTGGTGCTTGGTGGAGACCTTGTTTGTTAAGGTTGAAAGAGTTCATGGCTTGTTATCGTATATCTCACCAAAATGTTCACGCCTGTTGGAGGACATTGTATTCAAGCTGGAAACCAAATGGTTTAGTCAGTAAGAGTTTTTTCTGTAAGTTGAGTAGTTTGGGATGTTCGACGAGGAAATACTGTTCATCCATCCCGTGTAAAAGGGTAGATATCTCTCACTGCTATCTACTGTTAAATGTTCTTCATGTATTGTAGCCTTTTTTAATTTCAGTATATTCTGATTGTCTAATTCTCTCTCTCTCTCTCTCTTTCTCTCTCTCTCTCTTTTTTTTTGTTCCTTTTGTCAGGATTTTCGTGGAGGGCGTAATAGCTTGAATTCTGGAGTTTGTAGTGTTGTGCGCCCTTTCTCTTCTACTGCTATCAGTACATCTGCTCAAACTGCAGAAGCAATTGACGAGAGTACAATATTGAATTCTGCTACAAGTGACGATGTGCAGACAACCATGACTCCGTCAAATGGCAGAGTAATGCTTATAGATGGCACTTCAATCATATATAGAGCATATTACAAACTTCTTGGTATGTATATGTATCAGTTTTGTTCCTTTAAATTACACTAATCTTGGAAAATGGTGATGGGTTTAACTGTGCCGCAAACCATTTTTTATTTAACATGTAAACTTCGGCAGAAGCTGATACTTTACTAGTTATTGTTAGCAAGATTGCACCATGGTCATCTTTCACATGCTGATGGAAATGGAGATTGGGTCCTCACTATTTTCAGGGCATTGTCTCTGGTAAGTTTTAATTTGTCTATAAGATGCAATATATTAACACCCCCCGCACCCCCTCCCCCCCCTTTTTTTTTGTTCCTTAAGTATTTTGTAATGACTTTTATTTGGCACCATGGTTCCCTTTTTAAGAGAACTAGTGTTGATACCCGTGCGATGCACGGGATATACTATAGATTAATATTTTATTATTAAAATATTGTTAATTTATTTAATACAACATGATAATTGTACCAGACTCAATATATCAAGTCAGTAATAAAAATAAATTTTGTTTGGATATCTTTTATAATTTATTTTACCGGTTTTGACTATTTAATATATAAATCTTACTATTTATAATATTATAAAATAGTATCGATATCTTGATATTAAATATGATGTTTGTATACAATTAATGG